TCTAGAGTCTTGATTTAAACGGAATGTTTTAAGTTGATCTCATATAATCTGATTTAAATGATTATATCAGATAAAATCTGAATGAATCTAATTCAAATTCAAATAATGAGATTAATAATAATAATAATTTATTATTAATAATTTTTACAATAACAATTTTTATTATTGATAATTATAATTGTAATTATTAATTAATATTATTATTATCATTATTATATTAATAATTACATTTATTATTGTAATAATAAATTACTATTATTATTAATATTATATATTATGATTAATGATTATTATTATCATAACTAAAATAGTAATTATTGTTAAATTCTATTATTATTATTAATTAACAATCATTATTAATAATTATTAGTTAATAATAATAACTATTATTATTATTATTTTCATCATTATTATTAGTTACTATTACTCTTATTCTTAAGTACGATGATAATCAATTATTATTAAAACAATTAGTATTATTACTCCCTCCGTCCCTAAATAAACTTCATCTTTCGTTTTTTCTTTGTCCCCAAATAAACTTCTCTTTTCCCTTAAAAACCCCTTTTACCCCTTACTTTTTCATACCCTACCTACCACATCATACCTTTTTACTAATAATCTACATATTACATCTTATTTTTACACATCACATCAAGGGTATTTTTGGAAAGTCAACACCAAAATATCCCTCCCTTAAATCCTCAAAAAGTCTAAAACGGAAGTTTATTTAGGGACGGATGGAGTATTAATTAATAATGATGGTGCTCACAAAACTGGGAATCGGAGGACTCCTTGATGGGTATAACCCATTGGTATCCCGGCAGGTTCACAAGTGCCCGGGAGATACCGAAATCTGATCCCGTTAAACTTCATCAACCCCGGTAGTTTGACCGAGTGAATGTCATGGGGTCAAACCTGTGAGATCGTGACTTCATCCGCAGAAGGCTTGAAGACCGGCCAACTTGGAGACTCACCGGGAGGATGCCTTGAAATGAACGGTTGAGATAAAAAATGTTTTTCTATTCTTATAAATAGGAGTTAAAGCCTCATAAATAGGCAAACGATTAATAATCCACACTGCTTGTGAATGGTAATCAGTCCCCATATTATAATAACAAACCGGGTTACAGGTGTTCCCACCTACAGCCTTTCGCTTTTTGTGACTTAGTACTCACGTTGGTTTTACACCATCAGTTATGAGTTATGACAATGATATTGATTTTTAAGGTTATCTAGAAGAACTCTAAGATATACCAACAACAACAACAACCTAGTTGAATCCCACAAGAGTAGGGTATGGGGAGGGTGTGCGTTCGTAAACCTTACCCTTACTCGAAAGTAGAGAGGCTGTTTGCAAAGAGACCCCCGGCTCAATGTTGAAAGTTACACTGATTAACTAACTGCTACTTCATTATTCAAAGAAGCGCAGATAGTTTAGAGATCCATTTTGCTTTATTTTATCACAACCAAAGCTAAAAAATGAGGAATTTTTGGCTCCACCGGAGATGATAGAAAAAACTCTTAGATATACCCATGTCATTAATTTAGTTAGGCCTTGCGGGTATGATGTTTGGTGGCCAAGGTTAAAACGTACCTACGGAATCCACAAAGTAAACTTGAGTACCTACTCGTATGGGGGTACCACCCAACCCGACGGTGACTAGTCCGTTGTTTGGTTTTGAGCATGACCTATAAGACTCGTAGGATAGGTCATCAATTCTTGTGTTTTGCCTTAGACTAATATATAGTTTAAAAACCTGGTTATTTATATTTTTCTTATACTAAGAATAGTTTAAGAGCTTAGTTATCAATATGAATTTGGCCTTAGACTAATATAATAGTTTAAGATCATTGTTATAATTTGGTCATAGACTAAAAATAATTTAAGAGCACTGTTGATGTTATGAATACTAACTATCTGAATTGAACAGTATGTGCATGATATCAAATGGATTAGGTTGTGAATTGAGATTCAATTTATGTGGATGTTCGATGCATTAGATATCCTTATTCAGCTTTACCGCTGAGCGTGTAGTATGTTTTATTTGCTACACGCAGGTAAACAGAAAGAATGATGTGACGTGATCCTGGCGGCATATAGGGGCAAAATTGTCGGGATGGATCTGAACGATTATTTTAAAAGACATGAATTAATTATATTTTGTGATTGTGATTTGTTAAGCTCCCGCAACATTGAAAATTTTGTACTATTTCTGTTATGAATATTACTTTGTGATGAATAAAAGTGTTTGAAATGTTTTAAATTTTACGATTTCCAAGTTTATACTTTAGTCCAAAAAGGGCTGCAGACCTGGACGATTAGGGTGTTACAAGGGTAGCCCGTCAACGAGTCAATTCCGGGGCTAGACGCAGAAGACCCGAAACTTTCATTGATGAGGAAGTTGAGGTTCAGAGCTAGCCCAGAGTCCTAGCACTACAGCATTTGAGCTTGGCAAGGCAAGGGATGATGCAGATCTAGGACATGCAGAGAATGAGAGAGAGGTGAACTTGTGATGAATGAAGGCATCCCATGTGAGTATGCCAAAAGGCGAAGACAATGTAAGAGGTTCAACGTGCTCGAGTGTGGAAGTAGAATGGTCACATGTTCTCAGTATTGGGAATATTAGCTAGAGTGCTAGACAAGTATTGTGTATGCCAGTGTCAACGATAACTGTGTAGCGGGTGTTTAGTTCCATCCATCACATTTTGATCGACTTTAGTACTAGTCTCAATGTATGTATCATTAGAGAAACTAGTATGGAACCGAGATCCGATCTTGGTGTATAATTACAAAATAAAATTACATGTTTAAAAACTACACCAAAAGATCTACAAAACTAGTGGCGACATTACTATACTCCCTCCGATCCGTCTATAAATAAAATTCTTGTTGCGTGTTACGATGTTTGACTGAAGTTATTTTCAGCTAGTTTTGTATGAAAAATGATATGCAATTTTAAAATAAAAATTACATATTTAAAACCTACATGAAAAGGTCTACAAAACTATATGTGACATAACTATTTTATTTTATCAAATAAAAACGAAAATAGGATAACAAAGTGAATAAAGTTTGATCCTGTGAATGGTGAACGAGAATTTTATTGTTGGATGGAGAGAGTATCATTTTATCAAATGACTAATGAAAATAGGAAAAGAAAGTGAATAAAGTTTGACCATACGAATAATAAACATGTAATTTATTGAGAAAAAGACAAAAATAGGAGTAAGATATTGTAAATATACAAAAATAAAAGTTCGATATTTTTACTCCCGAAATAGGAGTTAAAATACATTTAGAGCATGCGCAGCGACATTCCATCCCCTTGCCATGCCATGGCACGTAGGACAAAAACTCATATGCCTCGCGTGGGATTACAATTCCACCACGGTATATGAGGCTTCCGCGAGGCGCACACAACTCTTTTTTTACCTTTTACTTTTTATTTTTGTAAAAGAAAAAATGTTTTGTTGTGAGTAGAACTACTTTTTACTCACATTATTCCATTATAGATTACAATTTTTATCTTTTTACCTCTCGATAACTTTTGTTTATTTGTATGTTTTTATGAATTTTTTGATAAAATAAAATATTTTTGTAATCTCTTATTTTGTAGAATTCTTGATATAATTTTATAATTTGTAAGTTTTATTTTTTTTTCTTATACAAATTTTTAAATAAAACAATTTTAAAAAACAATAAATCTTACATTGTAATATATATAATTTGAGACGGAAGGGTAAATAAAATACGGAGTAGATAACAAAATAATTTTTAATGATTAAAACAATATTAAAAATGTGCTCCATGTTTTTTTTTGCTAAATTACATAAATAAAATAATTTTTAATAATTCAAATATGGCAAGATGAAAAAAGTAAAAAACGGTGACTTGCCACTACAGGACATGGCACTCCGCACATTCGCAACTCGTTGACTGGACTATTTTTCATTGGTTGAAATAATCCACATCAGAGTGTGACATTCCATTCTTGCCTCACCATTGTTAATGCTCTTACATTACTAATTATGATCATGTACATTACATTAAATGGACATGTACAGTATCACATTACCACCGTGCGAACTCCTATTTAGAGAATAAAAACATGAAACTTTTATTTTGGTATTTTTATATATTTTAATTCTATTTAAAGTGATTTCTTATTTAATTTGGGACATAAGGAGTATTTAGATAAAAATTTAGTTATATTTAGGGGGGTGTATTCAATCAGAACTATGAAAGATTTCGATAGATTGTTTAAAGTCTTTAGATTATGCAAAATCTATGGACTGTTTTAAGTTCATGCAGATTTTGATAGATTTTAATATGTAGATTTCGATAGATTGTTTAAATTCTTAGATTATGCAAAATCTATCCCAGGTAGGGGTGGACACGGTACCGGTACGGTACCAGGACCGGCAACGGTACCGCCGGTACCCGCCACCGTCACCGTCGGCCGGGACGTTCCGCCGATTCTGGGAACCGGTACCGGCACCGCCCCCTCGGTACCGGTTCCGGTACCCAAATTTCGGTACCGGTACCGGTTGCGGTACATTTTTATTTTTATTTTATTTTTTTGCTTTTGCTTTCCCAACGGTCGGCCACTTGCAAAACAGAGAAAAAAGTCAGTGGGGGGGCCTCAACGGCTAAATAGCCGTTTGAGGTGGGGGAGGGGGGAGGGGCGGAAAATGCTATAAATTCTACCATTTTTCCCAAAAAATCACACTCAATCCATCTCTCAATCTATCAATGTCTCAAATCTCAATCTCTCAATCTTATTATCTCTTTTTAATTTTTATACAATTTATATTCATATAATAATATAAATGTATATTAATATATTGCATAATAACCTATAAATACATTCATTATTCATATTATCAATTATCATATATTTTTAGTTTATTACTAACATTATAATTTCAAAATTTTCGAAATTTAATATATTATTTTTCTAAATATCAAAAAATATATATATTAAAATGTCGAGAGAGTGCGGTAGAAGGTCCGTGGATATGGGCGCCGTAAACTGAAGTTCGAGGAAAGGCAAACCGAAGTTCGAGGAAAGGCGCCGTAAACCGAAGTTCGAGGAAGGTCCGTGGATATGGGCGCCACCTTCGACGATTCGACCTCGCGTGGTTCTCGAGGAAGACACTCCGTCTCTTCCTTTCCTACTATCCCCGATCAATTCATGGGCGACGCTTTGACGGATCAAGAATTTGACCAGTACATTTCAGGTGGAGGCGACGCGAATCTCGAAACTCTTGAAAGTTTATTCAAGGAGATTGATGAAGCAGGAATGGACAGGGACGAGGAGCCTACACCGCACAGCAACGACGTCGACCAGGAGGCATGTGAACCCGAGACCTCTCAAGGTCGAGACAAAGGTTAAAAAATTAAAATCGGATTTATTTGTTTATCATTTTGAAAAAGATACAAAAGATGGCATAGTTTATGGAACTAGTAAATATTGTGCCACCGTCATTAAAATGGGAGTTTCCGGCGGTTATGGTGGTCCAGAAAAACACCTAAGGTCGAGGCATCCCGTGGAGTACGCCAAATACGCAGCGAAAAAGAAGGGACGACAAGATGTGCAAACTCAAATTTCTCGGTTTGCTAACAGGGGTAAGGGCGGATTTTTTGCTTATAGCGACGAGCAAAATAAGCAAAAAATGACCGAAATGATTTTTGAAGAAAATTTGCCATACATGTTTTCTGAAAAACTTGGATTTATTGATTACTGTCAATAGGCATTAAACCCTCAAGCAAGAGGTTTTTCAAGAAAAAAAATTAAACGAGAAATTATTCGATAGTATAAACTTGAAAAAATAAATTTGGCAAAATTTTTTTCTCAATTTTAATTCTCATGTTACTATTTGTTCTGATATTTGGGGTGAAACATATCATAATTTATCTTATATGGGTGTTACTTGCCATTGGATAGATAGTGATTGGATTATGCATAAACGTGTTCTTGCATTTCGTGATTTCAATGATTCTCATACTGCTGAAAATATTTTTCTATTGCTTTAGCGTATTCTGCGGGAATACAACTTAGTTGATAAAGTGGTTGCATTTGGTTTTGATAATGCTACTAATAATACTACTGCTATTCCTAGACTTAAAGAAATTTGCCCCCTACTACGACTATGGGTAGATTTTTGCATCAACGGTGTGCCTGTCATGTTTTAAATTTGTGTGTTCAAGAGGGATTAGAAGCTATGGGGGGAGAGGTTTGACGAATATTAAAAATGGAATTAGAAGGATTTGGGGTAGTTGTCTTATTTCGAATTCCCGGAAGACATTCTGTAAGTCTAAGGGTAGAAGAGAAATAATAAAATTTGGCTAATGAAGATTTGTACCCTTATGTCTCTCCTATGAAAGATAAATGGTGTGCTTATTATTTGTACATTTTTGATATTTATAAAATAGGCATTATTTGTGATCCACGCTTTAAGATTGAAAATTATAAAATTCTAATTGACTATTACTACAGTTGTTTTTTAGATGAAAATAGTTATTACTACAGCCATTTTATAAAATGGGAAATAGAAAGAGATAATGCTATAACTCTTTTTGAGGCTTTGTTTAAGGAATATCAAGGGTTATACGGTAATGTATCAGAAGAAACAGCACCTCCTCCGCCCCCCAAATCAAAAAAAGGTTTTAAAGTAATAGTCAGTGGGCTTCTTGCAAAGAAAGGGAAACGTGCTCAGCCTTCGACGAGTTCAAGTGGTACAACAGTAAGACACGGCGGTGACCTTCAAATTCTTTAAATCAGCGATAAAAACCTCTTGATGGTGTAAATATAGCCGGGTGGGTTAACCGGGTTTGACCCGGACACACTCGACCCGTAATATAAAACACACAACAAGAACACAAAGTATGACCTAGACCGGGTAAATCTCATCAGTCCGAATTATATTTCTTACTATATCTCAAGAGTGAACTTTTAGTGAGAGAAAAATTGGATCCCCTCCTCTATCCAATATCATCATATTTATAGAGGAGGATTTGTGACCTTCCCTTGTTCATCCATGGACAAAATAGGAAGCTCGTGGGAAGGTCACTGTAGATAATGGAAGCACTGTACAATCATAGACTTGTTACTAATACAACCAAAAAAGCAATGTTCAATCAAAGACTAAAATGGATATTCTCAATCCAATCAACCCTGCAAAATGACAAATATCCCTTTCACTGTGTGCCTCGTGACGGATGAGCGGCGGGGTGTCCCCTTGACCTCTGACGTGGTTCACCGTGCCTAAGAGACTGGACCAATGTTAGCAAAGTAACGTGGTATGACCGGTCACCTTTTCTCGAAGGTTACCCGGTCATTTCTTGAGCCTAGCCCGTCTCTTTGGTCTTCCGGAATATCCTTCGTTACATAAGGTGACATTTTGGCTATCGCCCAAAATGTGACCGGTCACTTTTTTAGTGGAAGTGACCGGTCAACTTTTGACCCGTCCCAATTGAAGAGTTAACCTCATTTGATGATTGATAAAAGTGACCGATCATATATTGACCTGTCCCTTCTAGTTATCCGGCTCGGGTATAAGGATATACCCATCAGCTCTAATATAGATTCCCCCACTGTAGGCAAACTAAGAGTTCCAAAAATCTGAAGCAACCAGCTCAAAATCATGGAGTAATCGACAAAAACAGATTTCAACCAGAGGAGAGGATGAAGAAGAAGAAGACGACCGAAGAAGAAGTAGACGGCCGAAGAGTTTATAAAATCTTTGGTTTTTTGGTGAGATTTGAGAATGGATTTATATTTATACCCAATGCTTAAAAATCCATCAAAATCTACATTTTTAAAAATCTTTAAAAATCTATCAATTTTTTGAATACTATCATATTTAGAAGGACTTTTTAGAATTTCAATTGAATATATTCATATTTTAAATGGCTTTTTAAAATCTAAATTAAATACGTACATATTTTCAAAATCCAAAAAAATACATCAAAATCCCTCTTAATCATGCAGTTCCTCATTATTAAATCAAGTAAAGAGGGTTTTGGAGTCGGGCAGAAACCGGACCGCCCATTCACCTGTGCCGTCAGCAGCCGGTACCGGTGGCAGTAACTGGTGGAACAGCCGCCGGTTCCAAAACCTAAACGGAACAGGGACCCCGGTGTATGTTTATACCAACTCGCACAGGCCCGTCGACGCATTCGCCGAAGACGATGGATTTGTTGCCAAGCGGAGGAGCCCCGCTCTCCTCTTCTTACCGGTGCTCCCTCAAAGCCATTCGCCCCGCCCCTCATCTCTTCTCCTCCTTTCCAAACCCTGCCTACACACCCAAGATCTGCCCCAAGCCAATCACTCTTGCTAGCGCCGAGCCCGGAGTTTCTCGCCCCACCGCGGCCACCGTTCCACCCAGTTCAATTCCTGTTAACAAAGCTGATGAGGATTTAATATCTTTTGTCTCTCCGGATGAAGTTCATCTTGAAGGTGTTATCCAGTTCCAGAAACCCGACTCTTCTGCCTCGTTTTCCAAATGGGGGTAAGGCATTCTTCTTTCCCAGGTTATCCAATTTTTTTTACAGCTATTGAATTTTTGATTTTTTTTTTCTGCCGTAAATTGCGAATTTTAGTAGAGTGGCATTGCTAGCTGGTGGGGATGTATTGTCTTTGTTGTTGTTCTCTGCAATTGGAAGATTCAGTCATGGGTTTGCGGTTATTGACTCTGAAACATTGCGAACAGCTGATCCTTTTATTGCCGGTATGGGAATGCTCATATTCCTCTGGCTTAGTTTGATAAACAGTACTTGGAAAACTGTAAGAAAACATGAGGGATAATATAAATTAAATTTGAACTGAAGAAAAATAGGAGCAGATTATAATATGTACATGCAGTAAATCAATTACTCATATTATTATGTTCTGTTCAAACTAAATGCATATACTCCGTATTTATTTCTATAACCAAAAGACTAAGAAATACAAATCTATGAAATAAAACGTGAAGAATTACAGTCACATTTGATTTTATCCAACATTAAAGAAGACCTAAGAAAATATTTTTTCACTAAAATTTTCCGGCGGAGTAGGAATAAGATTTAGGTTTTCATTTCAATTAGTGGATATGAAATGGACACTTGAAATTCTCTAAGTTGAATTTATTTCTTGATCAATAGGTTGGTTTTTGAGTGCATACTTTCTTGGGGGGTATGGAGAGGATGCTCGAGGAATCAATGGCTTGTTCAAATCATCTATTGCTGTCACAAAGTCTTGGGCTTTAGGTATCCCGGTGGGTTTTATCTTACATTCAATATTCAAATAATACGGAGTATGTCATTCCTAACAAAGCTCTTTGTGCTTGAGTAATGCTACTAGATATAATAAACGCTTTAATAAGTGGTAATGTGTTACTTATAAATTTGAAGATTTTAATGCACCAAATTAATGCTGATTCTGGCAACCTCGTTTATCTTTCTTTTTATGGAATAAATGTATAGTGATAATCTAAAGTTCCTAAATTGTAAGAAGCACCTATCGTCTAAGCCATGTTTATATCAATTGGCATTTATGCTTTGTAAAGGATTCCTTGATGTGTGAAATTGTGGAGTTGGTAATTTGGAGAATCAATAACTCTAATGTGTGATACTGTGATGTAAGAATTTGGTGGAGAATTAAGCCAGAATTAGAATTTTTGCTATGGAAATTTTCCATTTGATTTGCTATTGAAAGAATAGGAATCCAGGACCATCCCATAGGGAACTAGGGACGTATGCCTAACTAGTAAAGCTTTGATTTTTATCATTTGTTGTCATCATTTCAACGGCCCAATATTCCCTACACTTTTATTTGAATAAAATTCGGGGTCATTTTGCTTAATGGAAGCTGAGTTGGCAAGCTCGATCCCTGCAGCTTAACTAATGGAAATGAAGCTTAGGTCACACTATCAATCTCTTAAGATTCTTCTTGGTGTGCTTTATGCCATTCAAAGTCTTACTCTACATCTTTCTCAAAGTAATCATCTCTCTCACAATCATCTTTTTGAAAATCTCTCATCATTGCCCAACATCTAGTCTCATATAACGGTATCGATGTTAGAGTAGTCTTATAAAATTTTACTTCAATCTTAAGGGCACATTTTAATCACATTATATTCATGCTGCTCTATTAGATTATAGCCAACCTACATGAAACTTATGTGACACACGTTTGTGAAGCAATCACATTTTTTTAAAATCCAGATTCAACTTACTTTTCCTTTTGCACTCAATTCTTTTGATACCGGGTTTGGATATCATAAAATGACATTGGCCATTTGGGTGGGTCTTTTAGGGTGGGTTGCC